CTCAGTTTATGCATATTTGGCAGGATTGTCACAGGAGTGATGTTGTGTCCTTCTCAGTGCATCCTGTTGGAGGGCCCATGAATTTCGTCATTACTGGTGGTATTAACCTTGATTACTTGATTAAGGTGGTGTTTGCCAGGCTTCTCCACTGTTATATTAGTCTTTCTAATTGTTTTATTATATTTTTCCCATTACCATTTATCCCCCCATACCCTCTTCCATGACTGCCCTTTTTAATTTTTTGATAAATAAGTATTTTGTGGGAAGGCCTTCTGAGGTTATATAATTAATCATCCATCTTTCAGTTTTTTCATTTATTTATATCTACATGAGCACATAGATTCCTATTATTTAAAATATTTTATATCCCCTTACTACCATTATTAGTATTAATGCTTCAGTTGTTCCAGATTTGGTAGTGGAGACTGTTCAAGCTGGATTCTTTATTTTTTTGTTGTGGCCCCTCATTCTTTGAGCAGTTGCTTACTTTTTGGCATGATGCTCCAGATTATTTGGTACTTGCTCTACTCCAGCCCTGGAATCAGCCATTTCTCCAAAGAGCTCTGGCGCCTTTTAATGGAGAATGGCATTGGAAAACAAGATCTGAGTGCCTATTGGGTGTGCATATTAGAGTGTTGTCGATACCTGGACCTCTCAAGGGACAGAGCTCTGGAACAGTTGTATTCCCTATAAATTTACACATTTCCATCTATCAAATCCATGAGTTCACATCAATAGCTGCAATTCTAGTCCAAACCAAGAGTTCATTCTAGTTTTTCACCTTTCTGTATTTGTAACTTTTCTTTTTTAGATTGTGAGAAACCTGGCTTCTATTATCTTTAGTGGTTTTACTTAACTGATCCATTTTTTTATGTACCCAATCTCATAGCTATTGTTGCATTCCCTCTGCCACCTCCTATCCCCCATCTAAGTAGAAACTCTTACCCTTCTCTGGTTTTGCCCCACTATGTCGGGATGCATACCTCCATGGGCTCTGTCCTTACTGTCTTGGTCTGTAATACTGTGCCACCTGGGCCCTGTGCCACCGCTCTTCTTACTTCACTCAGCTTCATCATCATCCCATGCCAGGCTGTCCCTGTGAGGATCCCCTCCTCACCCTGATCAAGCTCTGAGATCCTGTACTGTGTTTCTGCCCTCCTGCATGGACATAACCTCCCTCAGCTGCTTCAGGCTCAGACACCAATTATTGGCCATTATGACCAGCCCCACTTGATGGCTTTTGGACTGAATTATTTGTGAAGGGAAGCCGCATTGTCTTGTTTAAAAAGATTTTATTTATTTATTTTTAGAGAGAGGGAAAGGGAGGGAGAAAGAGAGGGAGTGAAGCATTGATGTGAAAGAGAATCATCAATCGGTTACATACATGCCCCATACATGCCCCAACCAGGACAGAACCTGCAACCTAGGCATGTTCCCTGACTGAGAATTGAACTGGTGTCTCTCTGCTTTGTGGGATGATGCCCAGCCAACTGAGCCATACCAGTCAGGGCCACATTGTCTTTTGAGAGATGATTAAGTTTTTTCAGACATCTGTTTCAAATTATAAGTTAGTGCTCTGTAAGAAGAGAAAAGAAGTTCTCATTCAGATGGTGGCATAGGTAAATGTGGTACTTGCACCTCCTACAACCACATCAGACTTACAACTAAATTACAGAACAACCATCATTCACAACTGCCTGAAATCTAGCTGAACAGAAGTCCTGTAACTAAAGATACAAAGAAGAAGCCCCATCAAGGCTGACAGGAGGGACATAGGCATGGAATGGGCTTGCCCTGTGCCCACGTGTGGTGGTTAAAAATTGAGAAGGGTGTCTCAGCTTTGGAGAGCCCCACTAAGGAGCAAGGGATCTCAGACCCTCCCAGGCTGTCAGTGTTGGGAAGAGAAGTCCCCATACTTTTGGTTGTAAAGACCAGAAGGAATTGTGGCTGAGTGAGACAGTGGGCTCCTGGAGTCCCAGGTGTTCCTCTTAAAGGGCCCATGTACAGACTTATTCGAACTCAACTTGCTCTGAGCTCCAGCACTGGGGCAGCAGCTGAAAAGGCACCAGGGAAAAATGGGGAGGAACTGAAGTGTCTGGCTTCAGGACTAGGGCTGGAGGGGCAGCTTTCTCTCAGACAGAAATGCTGGTAGAGCAGGTTGGTGCCATATCTGAGTCTTTTGAGTCTCCATGAACATGGCTAACACTGTTAGCTGCCTCCCCCAATGATTCCCTGAGACCCCACCTCACTCAACTTTTGGGCCCACCCAAACTATTCCCAGTGGCTTTTCAAACAAAGGGCCTTTCCTGGGTCATGCTTTGGACTTCCCTAAAATCTTTCAAGTAAGCAATATTTAGCCTGTGCCTATCCAGTACCTCTTGCTAAGTGGCACCAGACCTGGCAATAGCAGCAGCCAGCCTCAGTTTACAACTTGGCATCCTCTCCTGGGTACCTCCAAGACCAGCACAAATAGCAGCCATCCGCAGATTGCTCTATAGCTCATTCCAGGTGGCCCTGGGCAGGGCATAGGCAATGGCTGACCTTGTACCCCACAGGAGGCCCAAAACACAGTGCACCTGGTCGACAGCTTTAGCCCATGCTGGATTACAACCTGATCACCTCCACCAGTGATAGGAGGGGCAGACTTGGTGGGCATCAAAGCCCCAGTGAAGCTAGTACTGCTCTATGGGGTCAGGCCCTGAATAAGCAGCTCCTTTATTGTATTCGCAGCCAGCCCTCAGAGCTGATTGGCCCTGGGCGGGGGGCAGTCCTTCCATGTAATGTGCCAACACTAATCAAGGCTCAAGTACAATGAGACAGTGCACTCAGCTCACACAGGGCACACTTGGAGCTCCCAGCTCAGGTAACTGGGGAGGTGTGCTACTGGGACCTACAGGACACCTGCTATATAAGGCTACTCTACCAAGTCTGGGCAATGTAGCAACTTTCCCTAATACATAGAAACAAACACAGAGAAGCAGCAAAAATGAGGAGAAAAAGAAACAGATCCCAGATGAAAGAACAGGAGAAATCTACAGAAAAAGAACTAAATGAAATGGAGACAATTTATCAGTTACAGCGTTCAAAACAATGGTTATAAGGATGCTCACTAAGTTCCTTGAGTGAGAACTTCAACAGAATAAAAAAGGGCTTGGAAACTATAAAAAATAACCAGTCAGTAATGAAGGATACAATAACTGAAATAAATAATTTACAGGAAATCAACACTGGAGTAGATAAAGCAGATAATCAGATTAGTAATTTGGAATATGAGGAAACAGGAAACAACCAGTAAAGAAAAAGAATAAAAAAGTGAAGATGGTATAAGAAGCCCCTGGGACAACTTCAAGCATACCAACATTCACATCATTGGGCTGCAGGAAGGAGAAAAGAGTGAACAAGAAATTGAAAACCTGTTTCCAAAAATAATGACAAAACTTCCCTAACCTGGTAAGGAAACAGACATACAAATCCAAGAAGTGCAGAGTCCCAAACAAGATGAACTCAAAGAGGCCCACACTGAGACACATTATAATTAAAGAGCAAAAGGTTAAAGACAATCTTAAAAACAGCAAGAGCAAGGCAGTTAGTTACCTATAAGGGAGCTCCCCTAAGACTGTTGGCTCATTTATCAACAGAAATTTTTCAAGCCAGGAGGGATTGGCAGGAAATATTCAAAGTGATGAAAAGTAAGGATCTACAGCCAAGATTACTCTACCCAGCAAAGCTATCATTTAAAACTCAAAGAACAGATAAAGAGCTTTCCAGATAAGAAGTTAAAGGAGTCCATCACCACCAAACAGTATATTACATGAAATGTTAAAGGGTCGATAAGAAGAAGAAGGAGAGAAGGGGGGAGGAGGGGAATAAAAAAATATCAACAATAATATGGCAGTAACTACATATCTATCAACAGTTACTTTAAATGCAAATGGATTAATTGCTCCAATCAAAAGACGTATGGTGGCTGAATGGATAATAAAACAAGACCTTTACATATGCTGTCTGCAGGAGACTCACTTCAGATTAAAAGACACACAGACTGAAAGTATTGGGATGGAAAAAAGATATTTAAGGAAAAATGGAAACAAAACAAAACAAAAAAGCTTGGGTAGCAGTACTTAAACCAGACAAAATAAACTTTAAAACAAAGACTATAACAAGAGACAGAGAAGGACCTATCAACTCCACTTCTGGGTATTTATCCCAAGAAACCCAAAACACTAAATCAAAAAGACATATACATCCTTAATTGTCCATCAGTAGATGAGTGGTTAAAAAAGTGGTGCATAAATATAATGGAATGTGACTCAGCCATAAAAAAGAATGAAATCTCGCCATTTGCGGCAACATGGATAGACCTAGAGGGGGTATTGTGCTGTGTGAAATAAGTCAGGCAGAGAAAGACAAATGTCAGATGATTTCACTTATATGTAAAATCTAAAAAACAAATGAATGAGCAGAACAGAAACAGACTTAGATACAGAGAACATTTTGATTGCCAAATGGGAGATGGGTTGGGGAGATGGGTGGAAAAGGTGAAGGGATTTAGAAGTACAAATTGGTCGTTACAGAATAGTTATGGGGATGTAAAGTACAGCATAGGGAGTATAGTCAATAATGTTCAATAACTATGGATGGTGTCAAATTGGTACTAGATTTATCAGGGTGATCATAAGTTATATCAATGTCTAATTATGGGGTTGTACACCTGAACTAATCTATTATGTCAACTGTGTTTTTAAAATGAAAAGTAAGTTAAAAAGTAAGGGAAAAAAACCAAATAGTTGGAAAATTTCACTTTTCAGGCAATTGTTGGTATAGTTCTAAAAGGATTTTTTTGGCTAATATTTAAAATTTAACATAACACAGTTTCATTTATAATTAGAGTCTCAGTGTATTAATACATTGGTTAATGTTAATACAATTGGTTCCTGACTGAGGGAATTAGAAAACAAATGATAATTTCATTTACAAAATAATACACATTTTTCTTCCAGCTCTTCCACCAAAGCCACCTAAGCCAATGACTTCAGCTGTTACAAATGGAATGAAGGATAGTTCTGTTTCTCTTCAGGATGCGGAATGGTACTGGGGGGACATTTCAAGGTAACTAGAATGCTATTCTAATGGAATGCAGGTTTTAAAAAGTCATTTTTGAGAATTAGTGGTTAAAATGAAACATTGTAATGTCCCATTAGTTGTTATGTAAAGATTACCATTTAAGAGATTGTATAAGAACATCTCAGAAGTTTCTAAATGTTTTTCTTCCCACAAAAAAAGTGACAATCTTTGAATTATGAGTGTGATTTTACTTTTAATTCTATGTTGAGGATAGATTTCTGGATAAATTATACATACACTTAAGATATAGTTGTACATGTTTTAGGATAAAAGATACCTGTAGGTACTTAATTTTCCTTACCTTTTGTTTCTAAGGCACTGGTTCCACAATCTTGACATGTGCAAGAATCAATTGGGGTGGGATCCAGGAATCTGCATTTAACGACCACCCCAAGTGATTTTGATGCACTCTTCACACACCTCATTTGGGAAACAGAACTCTAGGACAGATTTGCTCTTTTGGTAAAATGTGGTTTTGGAAAATTTTGAATCTAGAGAAAGAATCTACACACTCAAATATGGAGGTTGGCAAAAGTAGGTTTACAGTTGCATTGACATCCTTTTGAGTTAATAAAGCTATTGTAATAATCATAACCTGCATATCTTTTCCCATATGAACAACTGTAAAACCACTTTTACTTACCCTTGTATATATTTTAAATTTGAATATTCTATTTTCTTGTTTTTAAAAAGCACTATACATTTCTGCCAAGTCAAGTTTCAGGCTGATGCTCTATTTCTCAATACGCTTGTTCTTCTCTTTCTCTTTTCTATTCTCTCCCATTACTAAAGTGGCACTCATTTTTTTCTTTTTTTTATCATTTGAACCATTTTTAAATGTATAATTTAGTGGCATAAAGTGCATTTAAATGTTGTTCAGTTATTACCACCATCCACCTCTGGAACTGTTTCATTTCCCCCAAGTGAAACTCTGTACCCATTAATAATACACTAACTCACCTTTCCTCTTACTTTCTCCTTAGGCCCTCCCTGGCAATCACCATCCTACTTTCTGTTTTTATAAATTTGACTGCTCTAGATACCTCATATAGCATACAATATTTATTTATTTGTGACTGGCTTAGCATAATGTCTTTAGGGTTCATCCATGTCATAGCATGTGTCAGAATTTCTTTAATTTTTAAATCTGAATAATATTCCATTTTTATATATTTATTTATTCATCTGGACATTTGGCTTTGATGCATGTTTGGATTGATTCCAGCTTTTGGCTGGTGAATAATGCTGCTATGAACTTTGGTGTATACATGTTCAAGATCCTTTTTTCATTTCTTTTGGCATATACCCAGACATGGAATTTCTGGGTCACATGCTAATTCTATATTTAATTTTTTGAGGAAGACAATATATTTTATATTATCAGAAAATTTTTATTTTACCATTGTATAATAAAAGGTTCTCTTATATTTAAAAGCTATTTCAGAGCCCTGGCTGGTGTAGCTCAGTGGATTGAGTGCGGGCTGGGAACCAAAGTGTCCCAGGTTCGATTCCCAGCCAGGGTACATGCTTGGGTTGCAGGCCATAACCCCCAGCAACTGCACATTGATGTTTCTCTCTCTTTCTCTCTCTCTCTCTCTCTCTCTCTCTCTCTCTCTCTCCCCCTTCCCTCTCTAAAAATAAATAAATAAAATCTTAAAAAAAAAACTATTTCAATTTTTAAGACCCTGTGGTTCTATAATTCAGGGGTCTTTTATGCCTTGCCATTTTCTTTGAGTGTTCTAGTGTTGTTCCTTAAAGTCCCAAACCAGCTCTGTAGAGGAATTTATCAGTATAAATTCATATTGGAGGATATTATATTGAAAGATTGTGAATTTAGTGAATCCCGCCCCCATCAAACACAGCTGCCACTGTTGCTTTACTATAACCTTCTTTCTAAACAGCTGCTGGTTTTTCCTGAAACTCTGCAAGTTCAGACTTGCCAAAGGAATCCCTAAAGGCTTAATGAAAACACTATCCCCTATAGACAGTTGAAATCTGGAAAAGTTTAAGATGCAACCAGCCCTTCCTTAGATTGCGTTAACACCGAAAATCAAAACAGAATGAACATCTCTGGGGGGGGAACTAAATGACCTCTGAAGGCCCTGTGATTCTATAACCTTAAACATACCCAACTCCCAATAAGCCTTAGTAATAATAAGAAAACAAATGACACTTACTTTTTTTTTTACTTTTTAAATAATTCTTCAGGGAGGAGGTAAATGACAAATTACGGGACATGCCAGATGGTACCTTCTTGGTCAGAGATGCCTCAACAAAAATGCAGGGAGATTATACTCTGACTTTGCGGTGAGTATTATTTAGCATTTTGGTTAGTGTTCTACTAGCATTATTTATTTCTGGGTATATAAAAATTTCTGTATTTTATTTACATCTTTATATATACCTTTATCATGTTTTTATTTAATCTAGATACATAATTTTAGTTGTTTAACTTTTTCTATACATTAAATATTTAAATGTTTTATAAAATAACGACAATTTTTATTTTTATGTAGCAATAAAGTAAAAAAGCTAAAACCCCTAGTAAGGAAATAAGATGTATGCTGTTGACCGTATGAGTGAAGCAGAAACCATATGCACAGCCTAAAGTTATTAACAATATGTTGAGAATCCACCCCTATAGTAACTCTATCATTTTCTTTAATGATAGAGATAGTAACTCTATCATTTTCTTCAAAGAGTTAAAACTCAACCTTATTTAGGTTGATGATGATAGGTAGAAGATAAAGCAATTCTTAGTCTTTATCGTGCTGTCCATGTGGGCCTATTAGAATCTCATTGGTGGTGGTGTTTCACTTTGTATATTTACGAAGATGGTACATACATTTTAAAAGATTAGGAAAATTGCTTTAGATATTTCTTCAATTAATTTTAACAATTAAAATAGTCTAATTACAATAAGGTCATTTTTTAAAATAAGAATAACAACAGCAACAATAACAACTTCCTTGTACTAAGCATTTTACATGTAATATTTATTTCTCACAACGACCTTATGTGGTATAGGTATTAATATTTCTATTTTATAAATGAGGCAACTGAAGCTCAGCCTGGTTAAGAAACTTGTCCAAAGACACATAGCTAGTAAGTGACAGAGGATGAGTTCAAAGGCAGATTTATCTGGCTTCTTGCTACCTTTTTATCCTGGTATCTTTAAGGAAAGCAATCCTGCCTTGGCTGGTGTGGGTCAGTGGATTCAGTGCCGGCCTGCAAACCAAAGGGTCGCCAGTTTGATTCCTCGTCAGGGAATATGCCTGGGTTGCGGGCCAGGTCCGTGGTAGGGGTGCGTGAGAGGCAGCCACACATTGATGTTTCTTTCCCTCTCTTTCTCCCTCTCTTCCCCTCTAAAAACAAAAGAAATAAATAAAATCTTTTTAAAAAAAGAGAGAAGTAATCCTGTATTTCATGCTAGAAATTTGAAGTCACTGTATTAGTTTCGGGTAAAGGCATTAAGAAGTTAATACTTTAGGACTTCAGTTGTGCTGAGGAATAATCAGTGTTTTACAATTGATTCATTCAACATAGATTTTTTCCACCCTAGTCAGACTTCTGTCTTACCATTCTACAGGGACTGGTAAACCAGTGGCCACTGCTCTCTTCTTACCTTACCTGACCTGTTAGCAGCAGTAGTCATACTCTTCTGATTTTCTTCATAGTTTTAGGCCACTCCTTTATTCAATATCTAAAAGTTAATTGTTCCCCAGTTCATATTTGGGCCTTTTCTTCTCTGAATTCATTCTCCCACAGTGAAGCTTGTGCTGGTCCCATGGTGTCTTTTTTTTGTTTGTTTTTTTTTAAGATTGTATTTATTATTTTTAGAGAGAGGGGAAGAGAGAGAGAAAGAGAAGGAGAGAAACGTTGATGTGCAAGAGATACATTGATCGAGTTGACTCTTGCACTCCTCCAACTGGGGATTTGGCCTGCAACCCAGGCATGTGCCCTGACTAGCAATGGAACCAGTGACTCTTCCGTTCACAGGCTGGCTGGCACTCAATCCACTGAGCCACAGCCAAGTCAGTGTCCTGTGGTTTTAATATACAATTATGTGGTGATGATTCATAAACCTTATCTCTAGCTCTGACCTTCAGAACTTCAGATGCATATGCCCAGTTGCCTGCTTGCTTTTGCCACTACATAACTAGGGGTTATACTAATATTAACATGGCCAATGCAAAGTTTTTAATTCAAACCCAACTCCCCCTACCCAAACTGTTTCTCTTCAAGACTACTTTTTTAAGAAATAGAACCACTATCTCTACAGTTACTCGAGCCTCAAGTCTTTTTCCCTCTCTTTCTCTAACCCTCACATTCAGTTCATCATTAAACAAGTCTTGCCAACTCTGCCCCCAAATTTATGTTCATAATCTCTTCACATTTCTCTGCCATCTAAATCTAAGCTACCATCATCTTGCTTTGTCTTTTCAGTCACCTCCTAGCAGGGCTCCTAGCATCTTAAAATATCTAATCTTTCCTACCCCTGTTGACCATTTTCTGCATAGCAGCCAGAGTAATAATTTTAAGATATGAATCTGAGTTCTCCTTTGCTGCAACTCTCTCTGCTGCAACTAAGGTAAAGAATTTAGATTTTATTCTAACTTACAACACTCTATTTAACCTGGTCTTGGTCTCCTTCTCACACCTCCTTTCCTGTCATTCTCTCTCTCTATCCATTACATTCAACTGCACTAGCCTTTCTGTGTCTCAAGACAAGTGAGGTTTATTCCTGCCTTAGAACTTTTGCAGTAGCTGTTCTGTCTGCTCTTTGCAATAACTGTTCTTTCTGATCTTTGCATAATTGGTTCCTTATTTTCATTCAGATCTCTATATACATTCCACGTCTTCAGATCTTCCCTAATCACTCAATCCAAAGTAGCCAACCAAGGATGTATATTGCCTCAATTTACTCTATGTGCTGCTCACTGTTTTCACCTTCTCTTCCAACTTGTTTATCTCACCCCCCACAAAAATTTAAGTTCTCTTAAGACTGGGGACTTTGTTCAATCATAGCTGTATCCCCAGAGTCTAGATTAGTGTGTGACAATGGATAGGCATTAGATAACAGATGCCTAATAAATAGTTACTAAGTGAATGGATGTCCTAATTTATCTGCAAAATGGCTTTAATCCTACACTAAAGTACTCTTTTATAATAGCTAGATTCCTAATTACAACCAACTAAAAGCAACAATTTTTATATCTTTGGGATAAGGAAAAGAGCCTGCATAATTATGTAATTTATCTAAAGTTTTAGTGCTTTTCAGGGAAAAAGGCCAGTGAGGGGCCCCACTGAAAGCTTTCTAGTCTAGGGCTGCTGTGTTAGAGAACTACAACTGGAAGGAATCTTTACTCTTACCTGGTTCATCTGGTTTCTCTAGATACAAGAATTCTCTGAGTAGTACTTTCCAGAAAGGGCCATTATTGAGTTTCCATGTGATCTTTTAGTCATAGGAAGCTAGCAAGTTCCTTTTCAGGCAGACCATTTTATTGTTTAGAGGATCATCTTTCTGCTGGATATTGTGCTAGGGCTGGGGTTATAAACATAAATAAATGAATTTCCCTTAAGAGTTCATAATCCAGGTGTGTAATGGTGGAATAGGAGGGGTGTATTTATACCATATCTTAATGTAGTGTGCTAAGTGTTATATTAGAGTTCTGTCTCCATTCTCCTTTTCCCAGCCCCTGGTAACCATTGTTCTATTTTCTATCTCTAAATTTGACTATTTTAGTTACTTAATATAAGTAGAATCATATAATATTTCTCCTTTTGTTTCTGGCTTATTTAATATAGAATAATATCTTTAAGTTTCATACACGTTGTAGCATATGTTAGAATTTCCTACCTTTTTAAGGCTGAATAATATTTTGTTGTATTATATATTATATTTTGTTTATTGGTTGATTGGTTGGCATTGGCTAGAATGTTTTAAAATTTTCATGTGTCTAGCACAAGGTCTGATGTGTAATAGGTACTTAGTGAATATTCAGAGGAAGAATAAATAAGAGAAAGAAAAAGAATTTTTCTCAGAGGAAGTGACCATTGAGCTGGGCCTTGATAGATTTTGCTAGGCAGAAAAGTGCTGGTCTTAATTTAATTTAGTAAATACTCATAGCTCAGTACTAGTTACTCTGCAGAAAAGCTAACAGTGGGTTAAAACTTTTGTTTCAAGGAAGGCAGACTAGTGAGGGTAAAGGGAATAAAAAATGCTTTGAATTAAACTAAAGTAACAGAAGTACAAACAATGTGCTTTGAGAGCTTAAAAGAGGGCAAGAGATAGCTTGTTAAGAGGATATAAAAAGCTGTTCACCATGGAAGAAATTGCATTTGCAATGTATTTTGAACAGGGGATAGGTTTGGATATGTGGAAAGTTGTGGGGAGCATTTGCAGGATTAGGTAACAATAGGAAAAAGATATAGAGGTGAGAAACGATAGAGTCCTGTTCAGTGAGATGCAGTTCCATTTGGTTAGTGGGTAGAATTTATAAAGAGGAAAAAGTGATGGGGGGGATAGAAGGGTAGAAGGTTGGAAAAGGATCATGTTGAAGAGGGCCTTGAATTATAAAACTTGGAGTTTGTATTTAATGGAGTTTGGAGTTTAATGGAGCTTGAATTTGGAGTTGTAGATAGGCAGGGGGAACCATTACCATTTTTTCAGCAGGGAAGTTATATGCACAGGCTATATTTGAATAGAAAGAATAAAAGAAGATAGATAACTAACTAGTAGAGTTAGAAGACTATTAAGAATTGAGGGGTAATGGTGATCCAGAAGAGGATTTATTCTTTAATCACTTAATTTTTAATGAGTGCCCACAGTGTTAATAGGCACTGCTTCAGGAAAAGGAAATGATGAAAAGCCAAACATGGTCTCTTGTCTATAGTGTTCATGTTCAGGGGTGGGGGAAGGTGTCAGGGTAGGAGGTCCTTGGCTGGGTGGCTCGATTGGAGTGTCGTCCTGTGCACCAGAAAGTTGTAGGTTCATTCCCGATCCCCAGACAGGGCACATACCTGGGTTGTGGGTTCAATCCCTGGCGGGGTGCTTACAGGAGGCAACCTATCAGTGTTTCTCTCTCACATCGATGTTTCTCTCTCTCCCTTCCTTTCTCTCTAAAAATCAATTCAAACAATTTTTTTTAAAAAGAGGTAACTTCACAGTTATAGAGTGTTATATAGAGAATAAAAAGGGCTATATAATAGAGAATATGAAGAAAGGGAATTTAAGATAGTTTTGAGAAGACCTCTATGAGGATATGACCTCTGAAAACATAAGGATTAGAAAGATCCAGCCAGAA